CCAGGCACAGAAGGAGGGTGAAGGAACTGTCCCACTGCCCACTTTTGGGGTCTGTCAGGGCTCAGGTCGTGTCGGATCCTGGTGCTGAAAAGCCTGGGCATGTCCCTGCCCTTCCCCACCTCCAGGGAGAGTTAAAAATTGTCCTGGGATTTGGAAAAAAGGACTTAGACCTGGGACAGTGACTTGGCTGGGGCAGGGCTGGGACTGGGGGTCCCTCTGCTTTGAGGGTCCCTCTGCTTTGGGGCTGTGCAGCTTCAGAGGTGGGTGATGCCCCTCTACAACCCAAGGACGAGTCTGGATGTGGATGTTCCCTATCCTGGCTCCTACCTCTGCCTCTGATGGAGCAGGGAGTGGGACGAGCAGCCATTTGGGTGGAGATACAACGTGGATGGACACACAGGATGGGGAAATCATCGGGAAAGGGACGAATTCTTCCCAAAGATGATAAAAAAACAGGGGAATGCTTGCAAAGAGCTTTACTCCCGCTGTTAGGAGACAAACCCCCCTGTACAGGGGTTGGAAGACACTGAGTGTCCCTGGGGGCTTGGATGTCCCTCCTGGGACGAACAACCCTTGGAGGTCTGGTCACTCACCACGAGCTCCAGCATGTGAATCTTGGTCATAATCATCTTCATGATCTCAGAGTGAACCGAAGAACCTGCAATGATTCCCCTCTCCCCTGAAGAAAGAGAAAAAGACCTTGAAAACCATGTCTTTACTCCCGGGAGCAGTCCCTCAAATGGTTCTGGGCACTCCCAGATTTCAGTGCTGGCAGGATCTCTGGGATACAATGGTTTATGTCAAAATACTCTCTATTTTTATGGATACAGGTCCTAGTTATTCTAGCAGCAAAGGCTGCAGCAAGGCCAGTTTGCCTGGTTGAATGAAGGGTTGGCAGAGTTCACTCATCAGGAAAATAAACTCTACAGCACAAACCTCATCCAAGCTGCAGTTCCCAAAAAAAAAAAAGGAAAGATCCGGAGCAGAAAGAGGTGCCGATTTTTATCAGGACAAACACTCCCACCATAAACCCCAAAACTTTGCCTCCTGCCTTGCACAGAACAGCCCTCGTGGGCAGCTCCAAGTCTTCTCGTGGGCTGGGAATCCCAAGGTGTCCCTGCTTGGCCGGAACTCTCCAATCCCACCTCCCGGCAGCGCTGTTTGCCCTCTGTTATTTGAGCATTCATCTCGTTCAAGCACCACTTTAGCGCCGCAGGGCGGGCGATATCTTGTAAAAAAGAAACAAGAGCCTTCCTGCTCCCCTCCCTCACTTTCCCCCGGGCCTGTATTACCCCAAATAAACACTCACTTTGGGTAATAGTTAACTTTAATGGCTCGGCCCCGGCTTGGGCTGCACGACAGGGCTCGGCGGGGAGACTCGAGGGGTTGATAGTCCTCGGGGTAGAGGAGATAAGGGCTCGGTTTGAAGGGCAGCACTCGTGGCTGCTGTCACGGCCGTGCCCGGAGGGTGGGAGCCATCACGGGACACGCATCTCTCCGTCACCTTCGCCAAAACGTACCCTGCTGTGGCACTGCCATCCCAGCCCGTGTTTCCCAGGGGAACTCCGCAGCTTTGCCATCCCCACCACCCTAACCTTAACCTGTCCCAGGCCACAAACCTTTGCTGGGCTTCAGAGATACCTGAAGAACCCGCCCAGCAGCTCTTTCTCTCTTAATTGCCTTTTCCCTAGTCAATGGATAACTTTACAGCCGGGCCGTGGGCACATCAAATGGCAGAACCTCGGGGAGGCAGCGATTTGCCGCGGGGGGATGGCAGGGGGAGGTGCTGGGATGGGGAGGGACAGGGAAGTTCAAAGCTAAAACCATCCTGAAAGTCGCAGCCAGGCTGGGGGTGCATGGTGGGCATCTGGGGGGTCCTCTCCAGATCCTCAGGGAAGCTGGGTGGGGTTTTCTCCCACCCCATCCTATCCCATCCCATCCCACCTGAACTTGGGCTGCCCCGGAGCAGTGGAACCTTCCAACTTTCCCCTCCAAAATCACTCCGGAGGGACAGAGGAAGAGTAAATCCTCTCTGAGCCTCCCACAGTGAGCTGCCCATCTCCCCCAGCCCAGCGGCCCCTCCTGCCACGGCGGCTCCCGCGCTCCTGGACACGATGTGGTGGCTCCGGCGTGGCTTCCTCCTGGGTGCCAAGGAAAGAGCTGAGAGGACCCTCTGGTTGGCACCGTCCCCTCCTGGTGAACACCCTGTGGCACGACCCCCTCCCCCAGGCTTTCCCCCAGGTTTTTATCCCCCCCTCTGCCTCCTCCTTCCCTCCCTGTCCTTGAGCAGCCCGATCCTGGCATTGCTGCGGCTGTAACAGCCCCGGGGATGGTCAATGGGATGGATCCAGGTTTTACAGCCGTTGCTTCACTGTGGCAGCACAAACAAGGTGGCGACCGTGCCGGCCCTGCGGGGACACTGCAAGCAGTGAAAGTCACGGGGTGGGTGAGGGGGGTCTGCAGGGGGAAGGGCTTTGGGCAGGATGGGGTCCTGCTCTGCTGGGCACCCACTGCCTGAACTTCCCTCTCTGCTTGAGCAGAGCTCAAAAATACATCCCAGATTTGCCACTGTTGAAAGAGGATTTTTTAACAGCCACCTTCTCCTCGGTGTTCCAGGGAGGAATTGTCCCAAAGGAACCTCAGAAAGGTCTCCCATCTCTCCCCTGTCGTGCCCTCTCCAGGGTTTTCCCCACTGCAACTCTGTTGAGGAAGGACACTTCAGTGTCCCATGCAATCAGCTTTCCTGGCATGGTGGCAGAGCTGCCCCGTTATCCACTGCCTCAGGGATCTCACCAGGAACAGCTTGGCTGCACAGCCAGGGCAGAGTCTGGAGCACAGCACATGCTGAAGGACGGGAGGGGGTTCCTGGAGATGTTCAGGTGTTCAGGCACGTGATGGCTCTTTCCATGGGAAAAGATGAACAGTGTCCTGGTTCCTTCCACACTGGACAATGTGAGACCGTACACCAAAAATCAGTTTCCATGAACTATTGCAGAGCAAGAGAGGGCTTCAAACAGGGCGTGTTGTGTCCTAGATCATGGAATCACAGAATGGAAAGGACCTTAAAGATTGTCCAGTTCCAACCCCCTGCCATGGGCAGGGACACCTCCTACTATCCCAGGCTGCTCTAACCTGACCTTGGACACTTCCAGGGATGGGGCAGCCACAGCTGCTCTGGGCAACCTGTGCCAGGGCCTCCCCTCATTGGAAAAAACACCACCCTTTGTTTTGTGTTGGGGATCCCACAAAAGTTCCTTCTATCTCTGTGCTCATGTCTAGACATGTGGATGTGGTACTTGGTTAGTGTTGGCCTTGGCAGAGCTGAGGGAACAGTCTGTCTGGGCTTGGTGAACTTGGAAGGCTCTTCCAAGCCAAAGGATTCCGTGATTTGATGTAACTCAACTCCTCCGGGCATCGCAACAAAGTTTGAGCTGAAGGGACTTAGTCAGGGAAAGAGGATTTTCTTCACCAAAAAATGCAGCTGAAACACAAGACCTTTGGGAAGCTTTAGGGAACTGTTGTTTTTAATATGATCCTGCAAGTGTAGCCGGGCTGGGAGGTGACTGTGGGGAGCGCTGACAAAGGAGATGCTGGAAGAGGCAAGTGGGATCCTGCCAGGTATGGCTTTTAGAAAGAGCTGTTCGGTTCAGCCTGTGGAGATCCAAGGGCGGGGGACCTGGGGGGTTTGAGGAGGGTTGGGTGTGTCCATGCTGAAGTCATGAGCTCATCAGCCCTCTCGAGTTGTTTGCATATGGACAAATGTGTTTATACACACACAACACTTCCCCCAGAGGGATTTTGGAGCCTAACCCATCACTTCCTCATGTCCTCCTGTCTTGTCTCTCTTCCCCCTGCCTGGCTCTGCTCTGGCTCTCTCTGACCCCCAAGGTCTATGGGTGTCCCTTCTTCCCTCACACAACAAAAAATGGGAGCACATAGTGAAGGTGAAGAGCATTAAAAATAAATATTTAACCCTTCCTTTCCCTTCAGACACCGTTGCTACATCAGCCTGTGACAAGGCTGCAGGCTCACACCATGCACAGATCCTTCCTTGCCCACAGACCCATTTTCTCAATTACAAAAAAAAGTTCCCCCCTCTCCCCCCCTTTTCTTAAGCCTTTAAAAGCAGGAGGTGAAGGCAAAAAAAAGAGGTATTTTTAACAGGAGGGAACAGAAGGCAGACAATGTCTCCACGTGATAAAATTTTATTACAAAATATGAGATGGATTAATAGTTGCAGGGGAGTTTGGCAGGGGAGAAGGAGTTCTGTGACAAACACAGCATCACCAGGGAAATAAATCATCCTCCCAAGTTCTCCAGGGCCCCAGTTTTTTCACATTGCGTTCATCTTGCACAGTAAAGGATCACCTTCAATCCACAGCCCCACGAAGCCACACAGCACTTTTTTTGCCTATTTACAGAGATTTTCTCCCCATTATCATCCAGAGACCAGGCCCCACCTCCCGGCCTTCCATCAGCTCCTTGGAAAGCTTTTCTGAAGTCCCTGTCACCCCAGTGTCCCGTGGGATCGGGAATGGAGGCTGGGAGGTGGGGCCACAAGGCTCCACCAGCATCACTCCCCGTCCTTTCCCCAAAAAACAGCCGCCCTTAGCCATGAAAATGCCATTAAATGCCCTAGAATGACATGAAAGGCAAACCTAAAGCTGCCCAGTTCTGTACATATAAAAACAGAGAAATAAAAGCCAAGGCTTGCTGTGGTTTTCCTCTTTAAAAAAAATACAAAAAAAGCCAAGTGTTGCCTTTGCATAGTCAAGCATTTGCATGGCAGCACTTTGCATACACAGCAGTGGGGCTGGGCTGGGCTGGGGTGTTAAGACACTTCTTCCTCTGCCCCCTCCCCCATCAAATTAAAAAAAAAATATATATATATTTATATATACACACAGAGAGTCTGGGTGAGAACAAGGAGGTGCATTTTTTTTTTTTCTGTAGCAAAAAAAAATGAGATTATCAGGAAAATTATTTAAAATTTCAAGCTGCCTATTGGTTGGTTTGGTCTTTAGCCAGCTGGTTTTGGAGCCCACTCAGAATCACAGCAGAGGTTTCCTTCTCCAAAAAGCAGAGGGGGGCAAAGAGACCCCTCTGCGAGGGCCAGGGGTTGGGGTGACCCCCCGACAGCCGGGGGACCCCCCACCCTGTGCTTTGGCTCAGGTCTTGAGGAGGTTCAACCGCAAAAGGTGCACCAAAAAACCCTCTTGGAGTGTGGAGGTTGGGATTGCAGCCATGGAGCTCCTGGGGGATGTGGGGACACAGGTTGCCCGTGCCAGGGCTCATCCACGGAGGGCTGAGAGGTGCCAGCAGAGGGGGGAGAGCCCAGCAGGTCCCAGCATGGCCATGGGGGGTCCCCACCAGCCCCACCGAGCCAGCCTGAGGTTCCTGGAGTCACCCAGAGCCTCCTGGAGACCCAGGTGGGGACTGGCTGAGGCATCTCCACACTGTGCTGAAATTCCTTTGGGATGAGCTCATCCCAGTTGCTCCACCACTGCTCTCCAAGGGACTTTTCCATCATCAGAGAGGTGGAAAAGCCCCCATCCCTGGGGCTCTCCAGATCCACATCCCAGGCACAAGGCAAGAGGTGAAACTGTCCCCTGTGGTTTTACCTTAGCTGGGACGGGGTGGCACTGCAGGTCCAACCTCCCAGGCCAGCTCAGGCCACAAGAAGGAGCCCAGGTCACAGTGGCAAGGTCACAGTGGCAAGGTCCTGCCCTGTGCCCTGGAGAGGAGCCAGAGCCCACAGCCAATAAGGGACATGGCAAACCAGCCCCTTGGCCCCACAACCAGCCAATCCTCATGAAGCTGCCACGACAAGCCATGGAAGAGTTGGAAAAAGGATTGAAAAAAGGACTTGGAGGTCCATCCACACAGTCAGCTGGGTGTAAGCCAGGCCCTCCAAACTTCACTTGAGCTCAGTGTCAAGAGGCTGCTGATGTCAGACCTTCTAGCCCTGGTGCTGAGGGCTGGAAAGCCCTTCCCATGCACCACTGGAAAAGCCACCTGAGCCACCTCCAGCAATTCCTTGGCCTGACATTCCCACCCTGCTGGAGAGCCAAACAGCCACCCCAAGGGCCCATGGCAGTGCTGGGCCATCAGCCCCGGGCACATCACCCCCCCAAAGCCTACACCACACCACAGAACCCCCAAATCCCTCCTGCCCTCCTCTCCTGCTGCAGGTGCCACTCAGCTTGGTTTATCCATGGAAAAGCATGAGCAGGACCCCAAGGGCGGGTTGCGGCTCCCGAGCAGTTTGACACCAGTAGAGAGGAGTGGCCTCCAAATTCCCACCACTCAAAGATGCCCCAGTTCAGCGTGGCCTCTCATCCCACACTGCAGACACACATCAGGCCGTGGGGCACCAAAATTTGTTCAAGGAGAAATAAAAGAGGAGGAGGGTGTGGGGAAATCAATATTCAGTTGGACACACCGGGCCCATTATTTGTTCTTGATTTATTTATGACCCACACAGCTGCTATTGGAACTGGCAGGGCCTGGCTCTTGTCTTGCCCAAATTTAACCCCTGGTAGGCTTTGGAGAGCAGGTGATGTGCCCCACGTGTCATGGCACCCCACAGCAAGGGGGGAAGGTGCTCACGGAGCTTGAGGTGGTGAACCTGTGAGGTAGGTAATGTGATTACAATCTGAACAGGAGAATTCATTGGAATTAGTTTCAAAGATATGTTTTTTTTCTATTTTTTTCCCCATCTGAGTGGGGTGAAATGGCAACAGCACAGGCCTGGTGTGATTGGTGATCACAGTCCTTGTGTGTGCCTTCTGGAGAAAGGCACCACCGGTGTCTTCTGGGAAACCAGACTTTCATCAGCGGCATTTTGGGTGGCTTCAAACCCATGCTGGTCCTCCCAGAGACACCTGAAGTCAAAATTTATCTTGGAAGCAGAAATGCTAAGGACACAACCAAAACACCTCGCCAAGCAGGACCGGTCTTTGCTGAGCTGAGTCGCTGCCAGGAAACCACAGCTGGGCTCAACAGGACACAGGTGGTGCTTCTGTCACCTGCTTTTGTGCTGTCCCTTACTTGAAGGCACATCAGGTGAGTATGTCAGAGGTCTTCTTCTTTTATGCCCCCACAGAGACTGGGATTGTCAGCCCAAACAACCCTAGGCACGTGCTCCTGTTCTCACACGACAGAGGTGCCACCTCCATGGTCACACCATGGGGCAAAGTGTCACAGCCATGGCCATGCCAAGGGACAAGGTGCCGTATCACACCATGGGGGAAGGTGCCACATCCATGGTCACACCACGGGAGAGTGTGTCACATCCACAGCCATGCCATGGGGCAGTCCAAGAGGGTCCAAGCTTCCAACCCGTCACAACCCTCCTGGGCCTCACCAAAGGCACCATCCTGGAAGGAGTAAAAAACCATCCCAAAGAACTTGAGGAACAAAGGACAGTTGCTCCTGAGTGACAAATAAATAGCAGGTTTGCCGGAAGAAAGCCCTTTGGAATCCAAGATCCATTGGCCCAGTGGCACTGGGAGCCTCGTCAGGAGATCAGTCTGTAATTAGAACTGATCGTAAATGAGTTGTTTGGGGTTTTGAATTTCTTTTAAAACCAGAAAGAATCGGGGACAGGCCTGGCAGGGGGATCACCCACCATCCCTGCCCTGCCAGTTGATCACAGCGTGGGTTTGTTCCTATGTACAGCACGAGGGGAGGCCCCTCAGAGGAAAAAAGAGTTCCAGCTGCTCTTGGAGAAGTGTGGGAAGGAGGCAGCTCCTAGTTCTGGTGCCTCTTCATATGCAGGGCCAGGTGGTCGGAGCGGGAGAAGCAGCGGCCGCAGGCGAGGCACTTGAAGGGCTTGGCCCCCGTGTGCTTCCGATAGTGCCGGGTGAGCTCGTCAGAGCGGGCGAAGCGCCAGTCACAGCCCTCCCAGGTGCACTTGTAGGGCTTCTCACCTGCGGGGACAGTCACAGGTCACGGGTACAGCCTCCCAGAAACCCACCCTGGCCCCTGGGAGTTGCTCAACTTCCTTGGGAGGACCACGAGGGCACCCTGGCACTGCCAGGGCTTGCCCGGAGTCACCAAGGCATTGGGAGCTGCTGAGCTGCAGCACCCACCTCTTGTCCCTCTTCACCCCACTCCCACTTTGCTTTTCAGGCTTGTTTTCTAGGACTGCTCATGTTCTTGGTGGATTTTGGAGCGTTTCTGGCTTTAAAAAAAAACAACTGAGTTTGTTGGGTTTTCGAAATAAAAAGTCAGGAGTTCCTAAGGAAGGTGTTGCTGCTCCTACAGGTGGTAGGGTGCATAAGGAGGAAGACAGGGGTTACAGCACCTACATTTTTTTGAGCCCACCACCCAGTGGTGATGGCTGCCCCATGGCTGGAAGTGTTCAAGGATGGGCCTTGGAGCAACCTGGTCTAGTGGAAGGTGTCCCTAAAGTCCGAGCTGACCTTTAGAGATCCCTCCCAACCCACACCACTCCTTGATTCCATAATCCGAGAACGTAGCCCAGTTGCTTCTGGCAACTTGAGGGTTCCTGTCTCACCAAAACAGAGATCAGAAGAGTCTTCCATCCACTGCCAACATTTGCTGGCACCAAAATGGGTGAGGAATTAAAATTTTGCCTTTTCCCCTGGGGAACACTCCATCTTCCTCTCCCAAATGCCCATTACAGGTGACATGAGGTGTGAGGGGTGACCTTGGCTGGCCACCAGGTGCCCACCAAGCTGCTCTACTGCTCAGCAGCAGGGGGAGGGAGAAAATAAGCTAGAAAAAAACCCTTTGTGGGTCAAGATAAATGGAGTTTGATGGTGGAGAACATTTTCTCCAGGCTGAGCCCCCTTGCAGCTCCCTCAGAAGTTCTTGTGCTCCATTCCCTTCCCTGGACACGCTCCAGCCCTTCAATGTCTCTCTGCCTCCAAGTTCACCTGGGAGTAGCTCTGTACACAACACATTGTGTTTTTTCCTCAGGGTGATGTAATGCCTCTGCCCTCCCCTCCCTCCCACACCTATTTTCCCCAACTGAAATTCATTCAATCACGCAACTCCCCAGGCAGCTGGGGGCTGGGCTGGAAAAGCCCGTGGCCGCTTCCAACCGCCTGCGTGCCCAGGTTGTGGAGCTGAACCCTGGCTGCAGCCCTCTCCACGCAAGGGTGTGGCACTCTCAAATATTAGTGCTCGCTCTTAACAGCCTGAACAAGCAGGCAGAGTTCAGGGAATGTGCTGACTTTCCCGACCTCAAATATTTACCGTTTCCTCAGCCAATTGCCGCACTCTCCATCGCAGCACAGCGCACGTACGCCCGCGCCCGGCGTGCACAGGCATGTGTGCCCCGCTCTCACAGCTCCCCACGGAGCAGCTCTCCCTCCCCACGGCCCCTGGACCTCACACAGCCAGGGGATCAGCCAGTGGATCGTGTTGGAAGGCACCTCAAAGCTTGTCTTGTGTCCCACGGGCAGGGGCACCTTCCGCTAGCTGAGGCTCCTTCCGAACCGACCTGGAGCACTTCCAGGGCTGGGGAAGGGGCAGGGGCACCTTCCAAGCTGGCCTTGAACACTTCCAGAGGTGAAGAAGGGTCAGGGGCACCTTCCACTAGACCAGGCTCATTCCAAGCTGGCCTTGAACACTTCCAGGGGTGGGGAAGCCACATTTGGGCAGGAAAGTGAAAACACTGGGCTACAGCAAGATCTACAGGGCCTTGCCTGCAGCTGTGAAACCTGGAGGAGACAGGTCACCAGCACCACTTCCTGCTCCTCAAAAAACCCCTGGAGGCTGAACCACGGGGAGAAGGGAGGTGTATTTTTTATGGTTCAGGGAAATACAGGATTTGCAGAGGGTTTACCAGCAGTTGGCTGGGTGTTTCATGGGATCTGGGGGTGCCTCAGCGTGCCAAGACAAAGGTGGGATTCACCCCGTGCAGCCCAGACATTGTCCCCACCAGGTCACCTGGCTGGGTCAGCCCCACCGAGGCCCTTTGGTTGCAAACAATACCAGGTTGATCTCCAGGATGGAAACCATTGTCCCAGGAGCTGGCTCCATCTCCCAGGACAGCACGGCAGGGCAGGCTCAAACAAAGGGCCCGAGCGGGCATTCCCGGCCCCCAGGGAGGCGGGAGAGCAGCCCCGGGTTAGATATTTAATCTCACAATGGCTCCCAGGAAATGAATGGTGTCTCCAGGAGAGGGACACAGGCCAGCCCACAGCAAAACCACAAGGAAAGATCTCAGAGATCAGGTACTTCTCAGCCCGGGCAGGGAATGGGGAGAAAGGACATGATTAACCCTTCGGGTGATGGAGCTGAGGTGGCATCAGGCAGGAGCTGGGATGGGTTCTGTCACTGCAGCTCCAGTGAGGTGAAAGCCTCAAAAGCAAAACATGAGGCTCAAAATATTGGATGCAGAAACTCTGAGCCTGCCTGTGTCTGGATTCCCTTCTTTTTACTTGCTCCACACCACCAAAAGTTCTCTTAACTACTCAGATCATCTCCCTCACCTCTGTTCCCTTCCCTCTTAGGGTAAGTGAAGAGGAAGGAGGCAAACACACAGGGATTTCCAGCCCAATTACTGGGAAACCAGGAAAACCCACCACATTTCATTGGATTTAAAAACCACCCAAGTTTTCCTGGACACTTCTTTATATTACCTAACTCAGGTGGGTCATGGAGCTCTGAAGAGAAGGGGAAAAGAGAGATTTCATTTTAAAGCAGAGCCCTGTGACAAAGGCCTGTCACCACCCAGCTCTGGGAGCAGGGACAACATCCTTCCTGTTCCTTTCTGTGCTGTTCTCCAGCCCACTCTTACCCAGATCCTGCCAAAAAAATACTGTACCTCACACACACAAAGAAAAATTCTTTGCTGGAGTGTTCGAGGGGGCTGATAAGGGGAGAAGGGAAGGGAGCCAAGAGCAGGAAGCGATTCCCAGCCACGGGATGGGGTTTGGTCGTTGTTCATAAAAAAGAAAAGTGAACTCTGGGCCAGCTTAATTGCTTTCTGTAAAGATCAGCCCTTCTATAAAAGAGATTTATGAGGGCACTGATGGTTCCTGGTCTACCAGGGGATCTGATAAAGTTTCAGGTATAATAAATGCCTTAATGAGGGGACCTGGGCTTGAATGCACAAGTGGCACCGAGGGGAGCGGGCTGTGGTGGGAGCTGCTCTGGGCTGGGCACCCTGTTTGCACCAGCGAGGGCACCCCTGCCCTGGGAAGGAGGGCACAGCCCTCTGTGCGTGGATTTGGAGCCCTTCTGGAGGAGGGTTGGGAGTGATGCACCGCTGGCAGCTGCTGAGGGGACACGAGTGGTCAGTGTAAACAGGGAGACACGAGGGGTCCCTTCCCTTCCTTGGGAGTCACAGGGGTGCTGACAAAAAAGAGACAGCCCTTGTCTCTTCAGAGGTCCTGGGCATGCAACACAGGCCTTCACACAATCCTTCTGCAGGAGAAGCAGGATCAGATCTGGGGAGGATCTGGGAGATCTCAAAGGAAGAGTAACAGAGGATCCCAGAATCCCAGACTGGGTTGGGTTGGAAGGACCTTGTAGCCCATCCAGTGCAACCCCCTGCCATGGGCAGGGACACCTTCCACTCCCCCAGGTTGCTTCAAGTCCCATCCAACCTGGCCTTGGACACTTCCAGGGATCCAGAGGCAGCCACAGCTTCTCTGGGCAACCTTTGCCAGGGCCTGCCCACCCTCACAGGGAAGGATTCCTTCCCAATATCCCATCTAAACCTGCCCTGTTTTTGGGGGGTTTGAGGGAATCTCTTCCAAACCATTGACTTGAGAGCCTTCCAGAGCTCTCCTGCAGACCATTCCAGCAGAAGGCAAGCAAGCACCCACAGCAGTGTGTGTCCTGTAAAATCCACCCATAAAAGCCAGCACAACCCCCAGAGTTTTTCCAGCATTAACAGCAACAGACCTGTCTGTGCTCCTTATCCCAACAACCACCAGATGCTCAGTGACATTCTCAGCACCACCAGCAGGACAGGGAAGGAGCACAGGCAGCATTTCCAGGTGCTGTGCTGCTCTTACCTGTGTGAGTCCTCTGATGTGCCTTCAGGTGGGAGCTCTTGGTATAAACTTTGGAGCAGCCTGTAAGAACAGGAAAAAACCCCACAATTTCCTCATGAGAAATGGGCCCTTCCTCAAACAATCCCTGATATTTGAGGTGAGGGACAGAGCTGGGTAATGCAAATAAGTCTGGCTGTACTACTTGGGATCAGCATGAACTAAAGAGCATTTGCTTTCTCAGACAGGCCTTTACATCATCTTTTGACATAATCCTGACACCCCTGGCCATTGTGCTGGCAATTAGAGGGGGAAGAATCAGGCACAAACATTCAAATCTCCAGTTCCTCCACCAGATCTTCCAGGCAGGGCGAAAACACTCAGTTCACCCCCATTTAGCTACTGGCTTTGTACTGCCCTTTGTCTCTCTGGATTCCAGACATAACTGATATCACTTTGCAAGGCTGGAGGGAAGGTGTATTTTGTAACAGTCCCAGCCCAAGCAGACGTGGTAAAAATGTTCCAGGCAGCAGGAAGCACCAGGTATGGTGCGGAGCCACTACTTGCCTTCCAAGACCAGAATAAAGCCAGTGGGAAGTGTTTTCAGAAGCTCAGCAATAACAGGTTTAATCAAAGAAAGGGTCTGACCGAAACACTGTGATCTGGGCAGAAGTTTCAACAACAGGTGTGTCAAAATGAGTCCTTAGTTCTTCTTTTCAGTCAGAGAGAGCTCAAGAGAGCCCCTCCTGCTGCCTTTCTGGCCCTGCTGCTTTGTGTTTTGACAAGCAGATTAAAAGATAAATTTGAATTGTTATCACCTGCATAACGCTCCCATTTTCCATTCCAGCATTCCCACCCAGCCTAAAGAAGCCTCTTGCCCCAGATCAGCCCTTGGTCCCATCCTGCTTAGGTGGTGGGAGGCCTCATCCCTCCTGGCCTGGGGGGCAAGGGTTGGTTACCCACTTCAGTTCTGCTTCTGGTGCTCTGAAGCCTCACACTTGGGAGAGAAATCATGGAATCACAGACTGGTTTGGGATGGGAGGGACCTTAAATCTCATCTGGTTCCATCCCCTGCCATGGGCAGGGACACCTTCCACCAGCCCAGGTTGCTCCAAGCCCCGTCCAACCTGGCCTTGGACACTTCCAGGGATCCAGGGGCAGCCACAGCTGATCTGGGCAACCTGTGCCAGGGCCTGCCCACCCTCCCAGCCCAGAATTCCTCCCCAACATCCCACCTAACTGGCAGTTTGAAGCCAATCCCCCTGTCCTGTCCCTCCAGGCCTTTGTCCAAATCCCTCTCCAGGACTCTTGGAGCCCCTTTAGGCCCTTGGAAGGTGCTGGATGGGGCTTTGCAAACACATCTCCCCCATTCATGCACTTCCAGGCGTGAATTCTCCGTGTCCCTTCCTGCCTCACACAGCCCATGGCAGTGAGAGCTGCTGCCCCTGCCAGAAGTCCTGCCTGGTCTCACCTCCAGCTGAACCTCAGAGTGAAGGCTCAGCCAGAGCCCAGCTCTGTCTCTGCACCTACACACCCCCAGACACCCAGGGTTTGTTCAGCACAGCTTGCTGAGGGGATTTTTTTGCACCACAGACCAAAATCCCGCTGAAAACAGGCTAGTTTTGCCTCGGTACTTTATCCTACAGGATGAGACTTCCTCAGAGCAGCAAGACAAGAACAAGGAGTCTGTCCCAGAGCAGGGCTCCACTTACACCCTTCAGATGGAAGGTACAAAGCAGCATGTGCTGTCAACCCCAAGAACACAGGGGCAGCTGCTGGCTCGGAAAATCCCTGATGTGCCTGTTGCCAGAGGGTGGGAAGGGGTAAGATCCTGGAGACAGGACCTGGACTAGGCAAAGCCTCTGGGCTGCCCTGCTCCAGCTGTTCCCATGCCACAGAAAGAGCACATAAATCTCCCAGGAGGCAGGTAGGAAATTACTTTCCTCAGTTCAAACACCCCCTTGGGGAAACTGTTTGCTAATCCACAACTGGTCAGCAGCTGGAGATCAGCCCAGGAAGTGGGAGGTGTGTGTCCCTGCCCTGGGAGTGGGGATTTTCAAGCCCTCATGCTGCTCTCACTGGGATATCTCACTTGGGGTTTGTTTCCCTCCTGTGTGCCATGGAACCCAAAAAAGGTTTGTGTCAGGAGGAACCTTCCACCCCCTGCCATGGGCAGGGACATCTGGCTTCTCCAACCTGGCCTTGAGCACTTCCAGGGATGAGGAATGAAGGAAGGAATGAGTGAATGTGAGTTTGCAGCTGCAGGTCCAGGGATCTCGGCCAGCTCCACCTGCCAAAGCACCACAGATGTCCATCATTAGATGGACACCTCAGGGGGTGGGAAGACACAGGGAACAGCTTCAGCTCTGGTCTGAACAAATTTCATATAATGAGGGTGGGCAGGCCCTGGCACAGGTTGCCCAGAGAAGCTGTGGCTGCCCCAGCCCTGGAAGTGTCCAAGGCCAGGTTGGACGGGGCTCGGAGCAACCTGGGCTGGTGGAAGGTGTCCCTGCCCATGGCAGGGGTGGAACTGAGTGACCTTTACGGTCCTTCCAACCCAACCCATTCCATGATTCCACTGAAATGCCCTTCCACACCACCCTGATGCAGGACATGAGGCCATGGAAGGACACGACATGGAGACCCTCAATTTCATTGCCTCTTTGGAAGAACTGGGCTACAGAGAGAGACCATCAGGGCTGCTTGTGGAAATGACTTCCTGGTTTTCCACCCTCTGAGAGCAGGAAAGGAAGAGTCAGTGAGAAAGGCAGTGTGATTGCACCTGCAGGTGTGATTTCATGGGGGATTATTCAAGACCAGAGCAAAAGAGGCAGCTGAGGAGCAGCTTTCCAGGAGCATCCCTGCGCTTTGCAGGAGCATCCCTGCCCCTCAGAGCCAGGCTTGCTTTTCCCAGAGCATTAAGAGGAGAGGGGAAGGGAGACAACAGGCACCAGATAGTGCAGGTGGGTGGGATCAACCTCTTCTACTCCCTCCCACTTCCCCAGGGCTCTCCACTGGACTCCACAGCTCCCTCCATCAGGCAAAGAGGATCTGAGATGAAAAAAGAGGCCCTAAGCAGCCCCCACCACCCTCAGGGTACCAAGAGACCCCCACAAAGGCAAGCCATGCACACACCTGGGTAGTCACAGTGGTGGATCCTCCTCTTCTCCAGCTCGGGGTTGTTGCGTCGGTTGTACTTGGGGGGCTGCATGACCAGGTGCCCCTGGGAGAGGGTCCCAACGCCATTGGGGACCGGGGGGACCTGGGACGACTGGACCAGCTTCAGTCCAAAAGTGGCTTCGTAGGACGGCGGGGGGGAGATGGTGTTGATGAGCTCAGGCTGGTTCTCTGGGCTGCCTGGCTGCGAGTTGGGGGGCGAGGGGGGCAGGGTCACCCCCGGGGCAGGGTAGAACTGCCCGGAGATGTTGAAGCTGCCCTGTCCCTGGGACACGTGTGGGTACTGCTTCAGCGGCCCTGCCGGCTGCACGGGCCGGTGCACACTGGCCATGGTGCTGCCCGTGGCCATGGTGACCCCGGCCAGGCAGTTGACGGCCGTGGTGCTGCAGGAGGACGTCAGGGTGGGGATGTCGGTGCCGCCGCTGCCCAGGGGCAGCTGGTAGAGCTGGGGCGGCTGGGGGGCAGCAGACAAGGGGACCTCCGAGGGCATCTCCTGCTTGATGAAGATGTTGTTGACGGCCACCGACTGGGGCATGCTGAAGACGCTGGTGAAGTCGGGCAGGGTCTGCGTGGGGCCGGGGGCGGATGAGCAGGGCTGGGCGAAGGCGGTGCCGGGCTCGGTTTTGATCTGCGGGAAGGACGCCGGGGGTTTGGGGGGCCGGTACAGCCCTGTGCGCAGGTGGGTCGTATCGGGCAGGATCACGTTGATGTTGACGCTGTAGGGGGTGGAGCTGGGCTTCTCCGTGGAGAAGAACTCGTCCACCACCGAGGCGCTCTCCCGACGGTACTTCTTGTCCGGCAGCATCGGGATGGGGAGCACCTCGCTGGAAAGGTACTTGTCCATCTCAGAGCGTGCCTGGGGGAACAAACATGGACAGGAGAACTTGGGAAGAGGAACCTGGGAAGAGGTTCCCTCTGCTTGAGGGGGGCAATGTCCAACAGGGATTTGAGGCAGCAGGAAATGGAGAGAGCGGCAGGAATGGCCCAGGAGCCACAGGCTGAGGTGATTTAGCTCAGTCTCTGACTCAGCCAGACTCCCCAGCAGTGAGTCACTGTCCTCTGCCCCACTTCCCTCTTCCATATCTCCACTGGTAACACAGAGGATGCAGTTAGGGGAGGAATTCAGCCTGATAAAGAGGAGCCACGCTCTGTGCACAAAGCTTTGGGCACACCAAGGAGAGACTGACTCTAGGAATGGGAGGAAAGCAGGTGTGCTCCAGCCATGCTCTCACACCTTGGGCAGGCTGGATCTGCAGCGCACCTTGGACATGCTGGCTCTGGTCTCCTTTAAACTCAGCAGCCTGAGATGGGTTTTATTCTGGGACAATGTCTTTAATTACCTGAGAAATTCTGGGACAGTATCTTTAATTAATTGAGAATAATTTGGGCCTAGAAGTCTAAGTGGTGTTGTTCAGTGCACTCTGAGCCTAAGATGAAAACCTCCAGGCACACTTACTGCCTTGGCAGGGTGACTCAGCCCTTGCCTAACCTTTGGCTTAGTCCTGCTTTTACAGAGCTGTTTTTGCAAGCCTGTGTCCTCCAAGCTAACAGGACCTCTGGCTCAGACAAGCAGGTTCCTTCCCCTCCTCGTTCCTGTCTGCTGTGGCATCCCACTGGATCCAGGCCCAATAACTCAGCAACCTGATGGAGCAATCCTCTAGGAAATTCATCCCCTGGCGTTGGATGACTCAAGTTTTGCTCTTTGTGGTTACAGACACCAGCTCTAAAGCTCCAGCCTTTAATTATGTGGTTATCCATGTGTCAAGCTCCTTGCAAAGCCCTCAGAGACTCATTCATATGTAGAGGAGCTGGCAGAACCACCAGGTTTCCCTGGCAGAGCCCTCAGTGCACTCCAGGACCGTCCACGCCCTGCCCAGGGTTGTACAGCCCTGAACTATGTCACCAGAGTGCCAGGGGCCAAAGTCAGCCCTGCCGCAACTCCACTGCTCATGACAAAGCTGGAGGGGGGCCAAGAGATTTCCTTGCCCTTTCCAGCAAAACAAATCACCCGGGATCCAACTCATTCCGAGGGCCTTTGCACCTCCGGGAGCACAACTGGTGGCGCTTGGCTGAGCTGGCATCTCCCCACGCACAGGGATGGGCACAAATGCACCTTCTCTGCACAAATACAGCCTCTTCTGCACAAATACAGCCTCTTCTCCTCTTCTCTGGCTCAGGGAAGCCAGACTGGGAAGGGCTACACTGCCCCAGAACAGAGTACACCACACTGGCACTGGGGTGTGGGCCCTATGGAATCATGGAATCCTTATGGTGGGAAAAGACCTCTAGGATCACTGAGTCCAACCATGACACATCCATCGTCATCCAGACCTGAAAATTCCCTCATTAAAGGAAGCTCAAACAACCCCTCACACACTCCAGAGAGGGAACCCCTGCTCAGGAGGATCTAAAGCCACTCATAGAGTCATAGAATGTCCTGAGATACAAGTGATCCATCAGGACCATCCAGTCCAACCCCTGGCCCTGCACAGACACCCCAACAATCCCCCCTGTCCCTCAGAGCGTTGTCTAAACCCTCCTGGAGCTCTGGCAGCCTTGGGGCTGTGCCCACTGCCCTGGGGAGCCTGTTCAGTGCCAACCACCCTCTGGGGGAAGAACCTTTCCCTGAGATCCAACCTGAGCCTGCCCTGACACAGCTCCAGCCATTCCCTGGTGTTCTGTCCCCAGAGATCAGCCCCTGCCCTCCCTTTTTACCCAAAGGCATCAGTGAGAGGCAGAGAAGGGATTTAATCCTCCCAGAGAGCTCCAGAGCCCTGATTTCCTCCCAGTGTCCAGCCTGGGTTCCTGCCCTAGGGAGAACTACTCCAAAGCTTTGGAGCTGAGCCCTGGGTGCTCCTCCCCCCAAGACTGGCAGGGTTCCCTGGGGAGTCAGCTCCAGGCAGTCCCAGTGGCTGTGGATGCCACACATACCTGAGCAGTGAAGGGCCCCACTGGCTGCTCGGGCAGGGAAGGTGCTGGATGCCTTTTACTTCCACACTTCTCTTATCTCTGAAATTTCACTTTCTCACCTCCAGTTCCCAAAGGAAGGTCTCCTCCCCACTCCTCCAGTGGGGCAGGTGGATAAACGTGGAAAGGTGTGGATCTTAGAGGTCCTTCCCAAACTAACTGGTTCTGTGCAGGGCCCTAATTTCAGATGCCAGAGGTGATCGTGAGCCAGAGCCCCCCTGCCCTCTGCCTGCCCTCCCCTCTGGTGTCAGTCTTTTCCCTCTTTTTCCACTAAAACCCAATTCCTCTTCTTTCCTTCAGGCTCCTGAGAAGGATGTTGAGGGGCAGGAGGGGGGTGTCACCAGTGGGGAGTACACCAGTCCTGCCTGTGTTTGCAGCCCCCCTGCTGTATCAGTGTGTGTGTGTGTGTGTGTGTGCAGGACCTGGACAGCAATGGAATTGTCCTATGGAATGCTCCACTATGTCTCAGTTCCCAGGAGCCCCAGAGTTCCAGCATCCTTCCAGGAGGGAGAATGTGGCTCTTGTTTGTGGCCCAGAAACACGAGGCAACCACGGACCCCCTGGCACTGCTCAGTCATGGGTGGCACCTCAAACCCCAAAGCACTTCCCAAGCAGAGCCCCATCCAAAACCAGGGCAGCTGAGGGAGCTGGGGGGGCTCAGCCTGGAGAAAAGGAGGTTCAGGGAGGACCTTCTGGCTCTGCAATCCCTGCCAGGAGGGGGGAGCCGGGGGGGGTCGGGCTCTGCTCCCAGGGAACAGGGACAGGAGGAGAGGGGACGGCCTCCAGCTGTGCCAGGGGAGGTTTAGGTGGGATACTGGGGAAAACTCCTTCCTGGAAAGGGCTGTCCAGCCCTGGCACAGCTGCCCAGGGCAGGGGTGGAGTCCCCATCCCTGGGGGGATTTGACAGCCCTGTGGATGTGGTACTTGAGGACAGGGGTCAGTTGGTGGCCTTGGCAGTGCTGGGGAAGGGTTGGACTCTATGGTCTTGGAAAACTTTTCCAAATTAAACAATTCCATGAATCTGTGAAGTCCTTGGGCCAGGGTGGGCACAGCAGGGGTGACCCAGTGCAGACATGTCTGTGTGGGGTCCCACTCCAGCCCCCTGAGCTCAGGTGCTCTGGCTGTCACTCAGGGCTCCTGTCATAGATGGAGGGAGGTGCCCTGGCCGGTGGTGGGGGCAGAAGGAGGGAGTGGAGGTGCCACCTTGTCCTCACAGTGGATCTGGGTGTCCTGCACTGGCTGGGTGGGGGCACATCCCAGCTCCTGGGACTTCAGTGGTTACTTACCAAGGGGAGCAGGAGGATGCAGGGGAGGAATGAGGGAAGGGACTCACCTCCAGAATGAGTGGTGGCATCCGCTGGTCCATCCTCATGGGGTGCAGCTGTGGGACACAGCACTGGGTTAGTGGGGTGCCCACCCTTCAGGGCCACCAGCCACCCCTGGCATGGAGGGCATTGCCCCCCACAGCCCCCACAGCCTCAGCCTGCCCACCCTGTGCCCAGTGTCTCCTCCCATTCCACACCCCATGGACGCAGCTGATGGTTGTCCACCATGGGTTGATGGTTGCCCACCAGGGGTTGGGACTTGCCTAAGGAGGAACAGTGAAGCCTCTTTGGCTTCTCACAGGGAAAGAAAAGCCAGCTGAGAAGAACAGAGCTCTGCAGAGGGGACTTTGAGGCACATGGAGCAAAGACCTTCCAAGACATCCAGCCCAGGGAAACCAGTCAGTCCTCCCAGTTCCCTGCTGGGCAGGCAGGAACGTTCCTGCTGCGTGCTGGGAATGGGCTGGAAGCCCCTGGAGCAGGCAGCAAGGGCTGAGCCCCAACACTCACTCCCCAAGCCATGCAGGAAGGCTTTTTGGTGCAGATCTGAGGCTGTGATGAGCCCCAACACCCCCCAAGGTGGGCACCCCACACGAGGTGCTGGGACAGCAGGAGTGGGGCAGCTCCATGAACTCAACCAAGCCCCTGCAAGGTGATGTTCTCACATCACACCACTGCCAGGCTCCCACACACAGAGGATTTGAGGGCATCTCACCTTCCCAGGGACCTTCTCTGCCATCTGCCCTCAGCTAGCCTGTTCCTGTGCTTCTTCCCAAGGTGGAAAGACTTTTCCAGGGTTTACATCTCCTTTAGCATTCCCTGTATGCCCACAGTAAATGCTGTGCATACACAACTTCTCTCCTGCCTCACTTCCCCCCAGATTATCACAGAGGGCTGAGGACTCTTTCGAAATCCCTCATCCAGACCCAGCTCCTTTCCCCAAGGTCAGTGCTCCAAACAGGCCACAGTCCTCCACCACCAAGTAGAGGGGGAAGAGTTTTGTCCAAATCTCAAAGCAGTATTTATCAGGGAAATATTAATATTTCCATGGGTTCTGCTTGTGTCTCATTCTCCCTCCACATCCTTCTGCTCACTTCCAGTGTGTCCATCTTCTCCACAACCCCTTGGTTCCATCCACTCCCATTCCTCCAGTCCAACAGGTGGTAAAGCTCCTCTCCACTCACACATCATCAGGCTGGTCATGAGACCAGCAAGGCCTCAGAACCAGCACAGCCTTCCCTCTGTCCCACAGAAAAACAGCAAAACCAACTCAGTGGACTCATTTTTGAGGTGTTCATTTCCTGGGAGCTGCATCCAAATGGAGGATGTTCCTTGCAAAGCCACAGCAGACTCCAGAGCCCCATGGTGTGGGGCAGAGAGATGCCAGGCTGGGAATGCTGAGGGCTGCCATCCCTGGAGAGCTGCTGGGCTCCATGTGTCCATGGAAGCATGAGGAGACGTTTAAACGTGAACTCTCCTGGGGTTTGGGCTTGAAAGCTGCATCCCATCATCTCCATCAGCTGGAAGAACCAGCTTCAGAAGCACCTGCATCCTTCAGCCAAGCTCTTTCACAGGGAATCCTGAGCCTGCAGCAGCTGGATCCTCCTGCTGGGGTCAACCTCACCAGGAGACCACCAAACCCTCTGCTCTGCCAGCTTTCTGCAGTCCAGCCTTGCCTTGGAGAGCAGGGCAGGCACAGAGGAAGGACTGAGGGCAGAGGGGGAGGAAATCTGTGGACACTCTCCAGCCCCTGGACCAGATCCACGGACACAGGGGCTCTTTATCCTCACCCAGATCCATGGACACAGGGGCTCTGCAGACTCCTTTTCCATCCCAAGCAGGTCCTGGCTGCATCCCTGCCTGGGGCAGCTCCAGCCTCTGTGATGGGCTCACACAAAACAGGAATGACCTGGAATGATCAGCCCAACCCTTCCTCCCTGTCCTCCAGCCACGGGCAGGGAATGAATGTTTCCTTACTTTTTTATGAATGACTGAACTTATCACACCCCCAGGACACTCAGTTCATCAACAGGGCACAACATGCCCACCACGACTCCATGGGGAAAGCCCTCAGGGCCTTTCAGATGAAGAACCACCAGGTCTTTAGTGGGATCACCTTCCTATAGGGACATCTTCCACCAGCCCAGGTTGCTCCAACCTGGCCTTGGACACTTCCAGGGCTGGGGCAGCCACAGCTTCTCTGGGCAACCTGTGCCAGGGCCTGCCCACCCTCCCAGGCCAGAATCCCTTCCCAGTATCCCACCTATCTCTCTTTCATTTTAAGCCACCCTTGGTGTGGTCAGGAAGGCAAAACCAACAAGAGCAGTCTTTCACACATTCAAAGCACTGTGAACTCTGGGGGTATTTTCCCCTCAAAAATCACAGTCCCTGTTTTTGACCCCAAAGGAGCAACTCTTCAATTTGCCAAAGATAAGAAAACCGAAATAAAACCAAGAAGGAAGCACAAACAAGCACTTTGTCCACCCCAGAAAGGCCACTGGACACCAGTTTGTGTGACTGGAGCAGCAGGACCATGTCACACTCAGCACTGGCACGTCCAAAGCTGGCCACCAACATTCCCAGGAGCGCAGGATAACCTTGGGAGCAGCTCTGAGAGGGCTGTGTGATGTGGAGCCCCCCCAGCCCTGCAGGCCAGTCACTCACTCACTGAAGATGGAATGACACCCCAGATCCCCCGAGTGGATTCTCCAGGGGCTCACAGGTGTGGACACCAACCTTCCCCCTGTGCCAGTTTCCAGAAATCCCGCAGGAACTCCTGCAGGCCTTGGAGCCCTGGCTCCCTCGCTCAGGGGCTGGCAAAGCCAGGTGAGGTGTTATCAGGACACGGATCAATACAAGCAGAGTCCAAGACAAACATTTCTTGGGAGGACTGAGATAAAACCAGGTGCTCAAGCCAAAGGTGGGGATTAACCAGGAGCATCGTTAGCACAGCGGGGGCTGCCGAGGGGGACTGTCTGTCCCGTGATTAAACGCTTTCTAATCTGCAGTTGATAAATAACAAACCGTCAGAGAAACATCAGGTGTTGTCACCGCAGCAGAGAACAAGGTGAGAAATCGATGTTTGCTAAACAGGCAACGAGCTTGTAACGCTGCCACGGGTGCTGTGCTGGTCGCTGGTACAGAGAGCTTTGGGGACAGAGGTGCCAGCACAATGTCCATGCAGGGCAGCCAACAGCACAGCTCTGTGTCCAGTTCTGGGGAGCAACAGCAGGAGGACCTGGAGCAGCTTCCAGGGCCTAAAGGGGCTCCAGGAGAGCTGGAGAGGGACTGGGGACAAGGCATGGAGGGACAGGACACAGGGAATGGCTTCCCACTGCCAGAGGGCAGGGACAGATGGGAGATTGGGAAGGAATTGCTGGCTGGGAGGGTGGGCAGGCCCTGGCACAGGTTGCCCAGAGAAGCTGTGGCTGCCCCTGGATCCCTGGAAGTGTCCAAGGCCAGGTTGGAGCACCCTGTGCTGGTGGAAGGTGTCCCTGCCCATGGCAGGGGCTGGCACTGGATGGGCTTTAAGATCCCTCCCAACCCAACCCATTCCACAATTCCATGCTGTGGGGGTTCAAGGGGATGGCAGGACACTCCATCCAGAGGCAAAGGGGGCCCCTCCTCAGGCCCAAACAGAGACATTTGTGGGACAAGGGTTGTACCCGTTGTGCCAGCCCTGGGATCACCCAGCACAGCCTTTCTCATACGTGCACCTGCATGAAACTGCAGCCTCCA